TGGCTTCTTGATAGCTCCCCAAGTTCTTCCTTTCTTTCTCCTTTGAAATGCTGTGCAGATTCCTCCTGCCTTTCAGCAGTTCATACCATCTTATATGTACCAGTCTGAGGTGGTCTGCCATGAGTCCCAGAGTATGATCTATTACAGGTTCATGGCCATCAATGATATTGGTATGTGGCTCTCCAGGTCTCACAGACTGTGAAGAATAATGGTCTGCAAACCACTTTCCCTTTTCTGGTTTGTGCTGATGGAGAATTTCCTTCTGCCCTGTGCGCTTCTGGTTACATTGGAAAGTGTCCTGTTGGTTCCCTGTAGACTTAGATGTCTCATCACCTTTGGGACTTTGAGGTCAGATGACAGTTGAGGCTTTTTCAGCACTTGGTTTTATTTTGGCATGGTCCTATCTGCCCAGGTGCTTACTGCTAGTACTTTGCTATTTATTTTTGTCCCAGATTTATATGTACCACTTGCCCTGTGTTGGTTTGCTGAAACTGTGGTGCTTGGTGGTTACTAACATAGCTATTTCATGGTTATATACAGATGTTGCTCATCTGTGCATAGTGTTTTGGATCTGTTGCTACAGAAGGTACCCTAGCTGAGAAAATTCTATCCACCTTGTGGTATTAGCCTTTAAATCTGTGTGGATTAGTGATTACTCCTCTTTAAACAAAACCACATGTTGGACATACAGTTTTTACTTCACACAGAGGAGCAGGAACACTTGCTCCTTACCATAAGGTAAAATGAAAAATGTGTAATTTTAGTATCATCTCATGCTGTTTGAAATGTGGTCTCCCACACAATAATAATCTTGTCATCTTCAGACTTGATGACTGAGAGTCTTTCTTGTGCCTGGGTTCACTTTTCACATCCAGAGTTTAGCTGATACCATTACAGACAGATGTAGCCAGTAAATGTTTACCAGCTGCATAGATGTCTTACGTAGCTCAGGATGACAGTTACATTTTGATCTCACAGGCAATGAACACTTTGCACCAGATACATGAGGTCATGTTTTTTTTTGTCAGTCCTTGTCCTTGTTTCCTTCCTGGAATATGGACCTGGAGCCTTACTGTGCCTAAGGTGAAACACTCAACAGTCTTAGATGAGTTACATTCACAATCTTAGACATATTACCTCTTCCCTGGGAGGTAAGGAAATGTGATTTTTACTAATACTGGACTGGGGAACAGAGGCTAAAGTCTAGTTGCACCAGTCAACAAATGGCAGATAGTTAAATACCAGCAGCTCTGGCACTGCACAGCTTATGCAAGTACAACTGGCAGGACATGGAAATGAAACTTCGGAACCTGGAGGGAACATCCCAAAACATTTATTTAATTTGTGGATATGAATGTCACCTGGTTTCAGCTGGGATAGAGTTAGTTTTCCTCCCAGCTGGCACAGTGCTGTGTTTTGGCTTTAGAGTGGCAACAATGCTGATAGCACACTGATGTTTTAGTTGTTGCTAAGTAATGCTTACTCTGATCAAGGACTTTTCATTCTCTCATGCTCTGCCACCGAGGAGAGGCACAAGAAGTCAGGAGGGAGCAGAGACAGGACATCTGATCCAAACTAGCCAAAGGGGTATTCCATACCACAGCACGTCATGCCCAGTATATGAAATGGGGGGAGTTATGTAGAAGGGGTATTATTATTATGACTTTATTTCAGTTGTTTAACTGTTCTTACCTCAACCTACAAGTTTTACCATTTTTTTTCCCAATTCATCTCCACATCCCACCAGGGTAGGGAATGAGAGTGAGCAGCTGCATGGTGCTTACTTGCCAGCTGGTGTCCATCAAAATCTGTGGTAGTTTCAAATAATTTTCCTTTCAATCACTTACTTTAAGCATGAAAGAAGAGGCCCTTTTACTTGGGACTCTAAATCCATTTATTGCCTTCTTCACTGTGAGGCTGGCAAAGGAGTCTTTCTGGTCTTCATATTCCTGGTCTCAGGACACATGGGGTAAGTTTAGGATGCTAGTGCATCCCTTCTGAGAAGCCAACGGATTCTAAAGGCTTTAGATTCCCAGATCCCACTGAGATTTACCTGAGACATGGGACAATTTCTAGAAACCTTAAGTGGTGGACCTAATGCTTTCAACACAGGGGAAATCCTACCTGGCTTTTCAGAATTCACCAATGTTTTCAGCCTCTGGCTTTTCACGTGGGACATTTCAGGATTCTCCCATGGCTTCAGTGTTAATTTTTTTTTCCTGCCACACCCAGTAAGACAGAGTGATGTTTCCTAGATTGCCTAGGTGATGGCAGATTTGAAGGATATTAAACCAGCCTTTCAAACGGCTTTGTGACAGAAATGAATTGTTTCCTACGTGGTTTAAAGATGCCCTCTTCTGAAATTTTACTTTCGTATTCTGAAGCCATTTAAATGCCTTTCATTTAAACCAGAAAATCTCTGCTTTTGAGTATAACTAATCCTTAACACAAGTGTTATGTGCTGTTATAGTTCTTATTAAATTTCTACTAAATCAAAGTTTTAATGACTAAACTTGTTGGGAAAGGGCTTTTCATTAATTAGTCTACTTACTTAAACTAATAAAGTGCTATTGATTTACAGAGTGTATGTGTAATAAACTCCTGCATCTGCTGTACCACCCAGAAAACCCACAGACTTCTCTTAAAGTTTCTGGTGGGTCAGGACTTGTTCCTAGAAGGAATTATCTGCCCACTGGTACTGGGAATGCTCCCTGAGACTTTTAAATGAGAACCTCATGTAGCCACACAATCTCTCAGCCTCATTCCTTGTTTCTTGTAGGCAGAACTTGTATCTTTCTGCATTTTCACCCTCTTCCTGCTCCTAAAGTTTATTCAAGCCTTTATTCAAGGTTCTGATATTCTTTACTAATATTTGCATTTGTAAAATACCAAAGTACAGCCATGTCTTGGTCCAGTACAAGGTCACCAAGCAGCTAGCGTATAAATGGAGTGCAATAGTAGATCTCCACCTGCTGGTTTTTTTCATACATTACAGCTAAAATTGGACAACCACTGAATTTCGAGAGAAAAAGGATATTTTGGCTGTAACTTCTGCTTTTTCATTTAAGGAAAGAAAGAATTGTACGTAATACTCAAACTGCCAGATGTGTTATCCTCTGGTTACCTGACAGGTACCATTGAGATCCTGTGCACCTGCATATTCCAAATAGCTCTGCACTGCCGAGATGGAAAAGCAACCAGATGAGCTTTTCATCGGGTAAGATACTGAGCTGCAACACAGTTTTGATTCTGTTCTCTGTTTAAGTTCTGTGTAAGCAAAGAGCAAATACATGGATCCTTCTCTTGTGATTGTTTTAAGCTTTATGTGGGTAGAAAAAAAGTTTGTAAGTTACAGCAGGAGAATCTTTGGTAGTTGTTTGGCCATAATTATTTGCAGGTTACTTTTGGATTGGTTCTCTGACTGGTCAGTTATGATCTCTACTTACATGGTGGATGCTTTATTTCTTATACAGCCGCTGTTTGCCTTTCAGAAAAAAAGGAGGAGGAACTGTACAGGAAGAAAAAGCTTCTCTGGAGGAAAGAAGGATTGTGAGCAAGATTTAGTCTTCCTCTGAACCTCTGCCTTGAGAGCAAGGTGAACTGCCACCTCTTGGAAGAATTCCTTATTTTTTTTCACTGAAAATGAGGAGATTAAGAAATGCATTGGCATTTAACTGTCATGGCCTTTGCAAGCAAATACAATGATACTTTATGTTTTAACCTATTTTGAGTTAGGCAATTATATTTGACTATCAGGTATAATTACAAAGAGGGGGGCTTACCACAAGTATTTATTTTTCTAAAATCTGTTTCAACAAAACCAAAAATCTTTTTATTGTATCTGTTTGAAAATCATAGAATAGTTAGGATTGGAAAGGACCTTAAGATCATGTACTTCCAACCCCCCTGCCATGGGCAGGGACACCTCACACTAAACCATGTCACTCAAGGCTTTGTCCAACCTGGCCTTCAACACCACCAGGGATGGAGCATTCACAACTTCCTTGGGCAACCCATTCCAGTGCCTCACCACCCTTACAGTAAAGAACTTCCTCCTTATATCCAGTATAAACTTCCCCTGTGTAAGTTTGAACCAGTTACCCCTTGTCCTATCACTACAGTCCCTAATGAAGAGTCCCTCCCCAGCATCCTTATAGGCCCCCTTCAGATACTGTATGGCTGCTGTGAGGTCTCCATGCAGCCTTCCCGTCCCCAGTCTGAATGGCCCCAACTTTCTCAGCCTCTTTTGACAGACTTTAACCATGTTTTGTAGAAGAGTGGCTGTCAAAAGCAAACAGAATATTCTGTTATTATGTGTGTGTTGAGAATATTTTGTTTGAATATTCGAATGGGAGGGTGAGCTCTTGATCTGTGTACACATGGTATGGAAATGAAGATCAGTGAAAAAGAACTGACAATATCCCAAGGGTAAGATGGGGAAGCAGAACTATAGGGATTTTAAGGTGTGGAGAAGTCCAGCTTGTGGAAAAACTGGATGAACCTCACTACGCTGGGAACCCAGGAAAGGAAGGAGCAGAACCCAGGAGTCGCTTCTCCTGCCCTGCTCCCAGCCTGAAGCATTACGCATGCAGCACATGCAAGTCCATAAAACAACACCCATCCAGGCACGTTTCTGAGGAAACGTGCTGCTAGGGAGGTGTGAGTAATTCATGCAGCTCGAGGGAAGGGGTGCAGAGCCTTCCAGCATGCTTCCTTACCCACAGCATGTTTGCCTTCCAGCATGTTTCCTTACCACAGCTCCTGCCTGCCGGGGAGGGAGCTTGCGGGCAGAGGCACTACTGGGCGGTTAGTTGCTGAAGCTCCATGTGAAAGGGTGACCACCACCTCCATTTTTCTGTCGTTTCTGAGCCTTTGAGAGCAGCGCCCTCTCTTTGCCGCGGTATCTGCTGCACGTTCTCCGTTGCAACAGGACCGGTCTTCCTCTTTACCTGCCTTCCTTCCTTACCTTGCCAAGCTGCACCGCAGTAAGCATTAAGCCTGTGGAGAAAAGCTCGCACTTCTACAGGGGAACGCCGTCCATTCTCAGAGCCGGCACGATGCCCTATTTATACTCTGTGCCACACAGGCGATGAGCAAAACAGCCCCACTCACAGCAACGCCTTGGTGAGGGCTGGGTGAACCCAACGAGTGAACACGGCCAGAATGCAAGGGAATGGAACCGCAGAGACATCCAGCTCCCACCACGGGACGATTAAGGCGAAAACCCCTCCGTATTTTGAGGGGTGCCAGTAGAGCAGGGGATCGGCAGCACTGGCCGGGCGGCAAGCTCCAGGCAGGGGAGTCGGCCCCGTGTCTGCCGGCTCCATGCGGGGCCGGGGGGGTTGAGTGGGCTTACTGCTGCCCCAGGGCCCCTTGCTGCCTGCCCCGGGCCAGGGAGAGGCAGCAGCGGACTCGGGGAGGAGCAAAGCTACGGCCTCTGTCGTAACAGCCAGGCTGGGGGCCTGCGGCACGGAAGGGAAGGGACGGGACGGGGCCAACCGAGAGCAGGCCAGAAGGTGCTGCTCCGAGGTTTTGGAGAGGGGTAGAGCGGCTCTAGAGGGAAGCGGGGAATTGATGGCGGGCGGAGGTGCTACTTGGAAGAGATTGAGAAGAAGCGGGAGGTGGTGAGGCTAAGGAAAGAATAGGACCCTGGACCTCAAACAGACCTTGTTGGTGCTACAAGGGAGGTTGAGGTTAGATAAGACCGCTTTTTATCACACTGATCTCTTGATTAAGCTTCCCATCTGGCAAGTAACTGAAATTCAGGATTATTTTTCTAACAGTCTCATCACTCAGTTCAGGTTGTAGTCGATAGCAAGTGCAGGCTTGCCCTTTTAGGTACCCCGTGGGCACTGCCAGAATGCACTGCACCTGTGTCTGCTCCTCCCCTTTTTCTGTCTGCGGAAAAGGTTCCACGCTACATGTCTTCTCTCTTTTGCTCGCCTAGATGGAGCCAGTGATAGAGTCTGTATTCGCTATTCTCCAGGAGGCTGGGAAGAGTGATATTGCAGGATATACAGGTGAGGTGTAGCTCTGCTAGTTAAATTCCAGAAGTTTGAGGCTCTTGTTCCTTAACTGGCTGGCCTTGGTTGCTAGGATGGTGTCGCATGCTAGGTTGGGGCAAGGTGCTCGGTGGTATTTTGTCTTTCTTTCTGTTTCTTCTGCCAAGCAACTGTTTTAAAGTAAGATAATACAGTTAACTTGGGGTGAAGGAAAGCCAGCACATTTCTATTCAGGCTTTTTCACTGGTGAGGAAGGTCTCAGGGAGATGCACAACTGCATCTGAGGAGTGTGATTCCTCAGCGCTAGCTATAGATGGGAATGGAGGGTTGTTCAGTTCCATTTCAGTGTTACAGACTTGGGGCCTACATGGGCTTCTGTGAATAGTCAGCTGTAGAATGAGGGAATGACTGCTCCTGTAAGATGGAGTCATCTTCATCCCTCTAGGAGAAAGCTGTCTCTTGGCTCTAACTCCTTAATGTAAGAGATGAGGCTCTCTCAGTAAGTGGGTGTTTCTGGTTGTTTTATTGCTGGTATTTATGTCTTGGCACATGTGGCCAAGTAAGTAGCATTTTGTCTTTTGAAGGGCGTTACTTGTAGAATTCTGTTTCTTGGTGTCATAGAGGTAGGACTGAAATCGCACTGCAGAGTTTTACTGTGAAGGTAGAAAGCCTGGTTTTTGTTAGTGGAATAATGAAACTTAATGTTTTAAGTGGATGTATGTGTATTGTGAGTAACTGAATGTTTTAATGCTAGATCAGAGATACTAATGGCTAAGTCCTGTACTTGAGTGAATAATAAATATTTTAAGATGCCTGCAGAAATCAAACTTGGATAAGCCTGTGTCAGGTGAACCTTACAGTTAATAATGTACTAAATATAAAATTTAGTCAGAAGAATAAGGTAACTGAAGCTAACTGTAGGGTGCATGGTCATACAAACTCATTTGTGAAATACCTAGGTTGCATTTTTTAGGAAAGAAAGGACCATGTTTGAATATTCCTTGTGAACTTCCTTGAAATGCCTTTTATTTAGCTTGTAGCTACAGTAAAAATAGGCATCATGCTAGATTTAGATAGTAAAGACATAGTAATAGTTAATTAGCAATTAGTTTTGGTTTTTTTTAATCAAGAAATAATTCCTTTGACTTCTGATGCATGACAGTTTCCCTGTAGTAATTTCAACTGATCTTGTTTAGGGAAAAAATGCTGATGTGCCAACCTGTAAAAGAAGTAGTTTAAATGCTGTTAGTAAATAACTAACAGAAGTGGAAAACATCCTAATTTCCCTGTTAATTTTGCCTAACAAAGTTTAAGGGGACTTACTTTGTGTTGAGCTATCCCCACCCAAATGCACAGCTTTAAAACAGAGCGTTAATCCTAATTTAGCAGGCTATGAGGCATCTGAGCGAAGTCTCAGACAAATAGCTAAAAGTAGGTGTTCATGACAGGTAAGGTGTTTCAGCATGTTCCTTTGCCTTCCTTCATTTTGGCAGTCTTCCTTTGCCATTCCCTGAGGGAACAAGGAAATGGGGAGGGGAGGGAAGAGAAAAGGTAGGTTTCTTACCTCTCTTCTTCCTTGTGCCACTTTTCCTTGTTTTTTTTGTCTCAATCTTCATAATTTCCTTTCATCTTTGGAGAAGGGGACTCTGGTGCAAGTTGTTGCTAGGCCTGGAAAAATCAGTTATTTTACAAGGGGCACTTTACCTGCATTAGGGAAAGAGGAGTGTCAGATTGCTCTCTTCCTCCATCAGGGGACTGCATTTTGAGTAACTATGAGGAAGAGGAAGGAATCCCTGAAGAGCTTAAGCAAGATGTACTGCCTCAGCTACCAGAAGCCCACAGCCCGGACATGGGGCCAGCCAGTCTGGAAAGGCAGCAGAAGGAAGCCTGTAACAACCCCTCTCACCAAAAAAGAGGCTTCAGGAAACCTGCCCTCATTACTGATATCCAGAAAGCACCCACAGAAGAGAAACCATACAAGTGTACAGAATGTGGGAAGAGCTTTAAGGGGTGTCCCAGGCTCCTGAACCACATGCGAACCCACACGAGAGTGCGGATGTTTGAGTGTGTAGAATGTGGGAAGAGCTTCAGCAGGAAGGCCAGCCTGGTGTTGCACCAAAGAGTCCATACAGGGGAGAAGCCCTACAAATGCAAAGAATGTGAGAAAACCTTTGGCCGTGCCTCAAACCTTACCGCTCACCATAAAACCCACACAAAAAAGAAAGCCTTTTCCTGCACCACATGCAGGAAAAGCTTCAGTGGCAGTGCAGCTCTCTTCCACCATCAGAAAGTCCATATGGATGAGAAGCCCTTTAGGTGTACCGAGGGTGGAAATAGCTTCCGTCTATACTCCAACTTCATCAAACATCAGTGGACTCATTTAACAGAAAGACCCAGTGAGCAAACAGCAGGTAACTGAATTAAGATCTGTTGAGTTTTATTTCAAACTGTGCAAGTTCACAGGGGATATATTGGATATTCTGGTCTCCATTTGTTCCTAAACACTTTTACCTCCTTGCTGTGGTTATGAGTATTTTCTGTTTGGTTAGGGTTCCTCCCTCTCCCCTTCTTTTTTTCCCCTTCCTATATGTTTATCTCTGTCATTGAAGAAGCGCCTTGAAAATGCCAAAGTTGAAACTTAGGCTTTAGACGCTCTAAAGCTCTTGGATCCCACAAATTCCTGCTTCATAGTTGTCTAGAAATAGATCTTCAGAAGTGCTCGGCTAACAAAATACTAAGTTTAGGGAAGCAGAAGGAATTTAGGCTGAGAATCAGAGACTTGATAATCTCTATCAGTTATTTTGTTATGTGTGGATATTAAATGAGCAGCTTTTAGTTGCCTGCAGGGGGAAGCCTCTCCTGGCTCCCCCTTTGTAATACTGGTGGCATAGTACAGGCTGTCAGGCAAGGTGATTGATTAAAGTAGAGAATTTTTGAGATTTTGCACTATTCCACATTTTTGTAGTGACCAGAAACTCCAGGATAAAAACTAATATTGTGGGTTGTTTTTTGTTGTACCTTTACATGGGTAGTCCCTTAATACTTGGTCAAAAATGTTTTAATTTTGAATCTTGAATCTTGCCTAGCTACCCATAGAATTGTTCTGGATGTTGGTGTCTTGACCACATCATGTAACAGTATGGCAGTTGAGACATGAGGCTGTGTGTGAGGCTTTTCAGGTTTGGTTTGGTTTGTTTTCATTAGTTTTATTTGAGTTTTCCTACTGAAAAAAAATCTGAGCAGGAGAACTTTTCATGTTAACAATGGAAGTAATAATGAACTTCTACTGAAATGGCAAAACTCAAAACTGAATTCCTAAGGTAGAGTTTGAGAACACTCAGTCCATAGATGTAAAAAGGTGGCCTAGGAACTCTGTTAATGAGCTTTAAAGATGGGACCTTTCACTTCTAATGATTTTTTTCTTCTGTCTCAATTTTTTTCTTTTTGTTAGATTGAAGAGTTTATAATTCATGAAACAAAACAATCTCATTTTTACAATTAATATCAGATCAGCCTAGTAGTATACCTGCATCAAAAGAAAATGTATAAACTTATCCTGCATCTGCTACTGCATCATTGTAATTGAAGCTGTATGCTAAAATTTCTTTTGTGATCAGCCTTGTAATGTGTGGGTTCGGAATGAAATTTGATTTCTGTATCTGGTACTATTTCAAAGAGTTTTATGTATTTATAAATTGAGTATTTTACTGAATCTCAGCTGTCCTATTCCTTGCAGCTCTTGCTCCGACTTTGCTTCCTTTCCCTGCTTTCCCCCCAGAAAAATAAAGGAGGGGAGAAACAAGAGGAAAGTATCTTGATTGTGATAAAACACAATCCTGAGATGTTTCAGGGGCTATATTTGCTTTGTCTTCGTTCTGGTTTGGTTTAATTTGGTTCAGCATCTGACTTGAAGTTTTAAGTTTAAAATGTGAGTAAGAGGAAGGGTTATTACTGATCTGCCTTTACCTTGTGTGCACGCATATTTGAAATGCTGACCTAGTAATTGGTGGTAAAGTGGGCTCTTGACTTGTACTGTTTTGCTTTTAGATGCAAACTGTTCTGGATTTACATCTCTGCATCATAAAGAAGAGCAAAGTTGTGGTGCAGGAAAACCTGACACGGATCACTTGAATATTGTTCTTGAAGAGTGTAAGTAGAAAAAGGCTTCTAAATTGTTATGTGAATTATTCTTACATAGCAAGCATTAACATTCTTTTCTGTTTGTACAGTGCAGAAAATGAGGGAAAATACGGATATGCTTCTTCTAAATCAGCAAAGTCAGCTGCAGGTCCTGCAAGAAATACAGAAACAACTGACCATACTTCTCTCAGGCAATGATCTCATTAATTCAAATGTTTATACTTTAGGACTTCTGCTAGAACGGCAGGCAGCAGCAGCAGCATCTCTTTTATTTCCCCTTCTTAATCCCAGCAGTCTTCTCCCTGAAAATGCCAGTCTTGTATCCCAGTCATCACCTGGAAGTCTGCCTCCCACTCCCTCCTCAGTCTCTCAAAATGCTGCCTCTTCTACAGCTTGATCAGTTTTGTGCTGTGAATGTATCCAATGTAGACAAATGTGACTATTGTTTTGTGGTGTTTTATCATTCAAACATATTATCTCTTGTGTTGTAATGTTGAAATTGTAGTAGCTGTGAAGATGCTGACCGTACATTCAAACCTGGAAAGATGCATGCCTTGGATCCATCAGCAAACAGCAGCTGGCCAAATCCACTGCCCATTCATTTGTAGTGGCATGCAGACATTTTGACCAGTAATGTGTTTTGTCAGGGCAGCTCAAGATCTTTATCACTGGGGTGTAGTTAAGTGCAACATCCTTATGTAAGATAATGCATAAAACTTATTTTTCTACCTGATACACTTTCAGTATGTACTTGGGCAATTGGACCTCGCCTAAGAAGCTGAAGCTAATGATAAAATCATCATGGGTGCTTTAAGCAGCTCCTAGTAAGTCTGATTTATGTAGAAGTAACATGCAAGAAGTTCAATTTAACTGCACTTCTGTTCCCAGCATCCATTTGTGAAAGTTTCCTTCATTCAGGAAGGCTTTAGATCAGGTGACTATAGCTGTGTTTTAGGCCAGCATCACTACTGAAACTGCAAAAAGTATTTTATGGATTTTTTGCTTAAAATGAACAAACACCCACCCCTCTCTTCCCCCCAAAAGCCCTAAACCAAACAAAAACCCACAAAAAAAATAAAACCAACCCCAAACAAACAAACCACCACCCCACCCCCCCCAGAATAACCCCAGACCCAAAACCTCAACAAAATACCATCATTCATGTCTACTTTGCTTGTTAAGAGTTTGAGGAAAAGCCAGGTTGGCTTATAGAACACTTGTTCTTTTGTTCAGAGGTGAACTTGCTTGAGTCTCTTTTTTACGTGTTCTGTTACATCCCATTTGGATTATTATTACAAATTGTTAACTACAGTGTGTTGGTTCACTGGTGTTAGGACTTGGTAAATAATTACCTGTTGGGGAAGAGTACTGGAAAGCTCAGGTGTGCCATCTTGTCTGCAGAGGAGATGGTGATGTTTATTTTTTGCTTCTAATAAGTATAGGGTTTTAAGAAGTATTAGTTCTTTCTACCTCCTTTTTTTCTCTCAGTGACTCAGGCTAGTAGCAGTGTCAGAGCCTTTGAGTGCCAAAAAGCTAATTGTGACTTAATCTGACAACAGTTGGGATAAAGAAATTTAGGGGCTATGCCAGTCTTTCTCTTAAACTGACATTGTGTTTGTGGGTTGTTGGTTTTGTGTTTTTTTGTAAAAGGACTGTTAGTAATTACTAAAATCAGATTTAGATTACAAGAATGGGAAGCACTTCTTCTAACAAGTTGTCTTGTTGGTGACAGTGCAGTGATGTCAGATTTTGTTCCAAAGATAAAAGTCTGTAGGATGATGCGTGACTCTCTTTCTCTATGTGTGCACACAGACTATGAAAATTACTCACTGGTTCTTATTATGTAGGATTTTGTATTGGCCTTAACTCAGTAGGATAGTCATCTAAGCCGAACTGAGAGGCCTTAAAGGGCAGTCTTCTGGTGTGAATTTGTACTGAAGTGTTTGGCGTGTGTTTTCCCTCAGTTGAGCATATTAATTGTGTGGCTCTAGACTTAAGAGCTCCAATAATAGTTGCTGATGTTGTGTGGAAACTGGGGAATGCCTGCCATTCATAATTTCTTGAATGTTTAATGTAATTTTGCTTAGAAGCTGAGTCCCCTCTTCAAAGCAAAGTTTTGTATTGTAGTGTTTTTTAAGATGTTCAGTATTAAAATGTTGTGTTTTTGTTAGAAATGAGTCTTTCTTGAGTGTCTGTCCTTTATAAAATAGCACCAGTGTTTAGACTTCAATACCCAGACTAAAGTTCAGTTACTCTAATGTATGTGCCTAGCATATGTGGCTCCTTCTGCTTTCCTCTTTCTATCCTGCCTAGATGCAAGAAGATTTAAAGGTATCTCCTTGCATTTATGTCTTTGGAAGCTCCTGTAAAAGAAAAAGTAGCTAAGTCTGCCACTTCTGCAGTCTAGATCAGGTAGGAGGAATCTCTTCAAGGGCTTAGGTTTAGGAGGATTTTTGCCTCTCAGGAGGGAGTTTGTATATGATGTTTCTGTTTGTAGGTGATAGGCTTGGGAGCAGTTTGTAGCAAACCAAAGGTGAGCTGCATCCTTTTTATTGGTGCTCTCTAATATGTTTGTTGGGTCACATCTGAATTTGAGGATTAAGTCCTGAAATACCTCTGAACTGCAGATGTGCTGAGGACTGAAGGAAATATTTATAGAGAGAAGCACAAGAATCCAACATATTTACTATTTTTGTGTTACACTTCTCTCCTGTGTGAGAGTGGATGCTGGAAGTCTCTCTCCTCCTGTCCTTCCAAGCACGTAAGTTGTTCTGAAAAGCATCTCTGACACTAAAAGTACACCACTTCCTAGGTGGAGTGGGGCTGGGGTCTTCTTGCCCATGTTGGAAGGTACGTAGAATGCTTCTTGCTTCCTTTTCTCCCTTGCAGTGCTCCAGCAATGATATAAAAGAGTGTGTGGGGCAATATCAGATAGCATGCCAAGGATACTAGATAACTTTGCAGTGTCCAGGAATATGTAAGAGGATATCACAGATGCTCTCCTCGTGCAAGTGTAGTTGATGTTGGGGACTGGACAGAGTGTAGACAAATGAAAGGTAATCTGGCAGAGATGTGAACTCTGACAGCTGACAGTTCCTAGGACTGGAGGTTCAATATCTTACATCATAGAATTGTAGAACAGTTAGGGTTGGAAAGGACCTTAAGGTCATCAAGTTCCAACCCCCTGCCATGGGCAGGGACGCCTCACACTAAACCACGTCGCCTAAGGCTCTGTCAGACCTGGACTTGAACACTGCCATGGATGGAGCATTCACAACTTCCAGTGCCTCACCACCCTCACAGTAAAGAACTTCTTCCTTCTATCTAACCTAAACTTCCCCTGTTTAAGTCTGAACCCATTACCCCTTATCCTATTGTTACAGTGCCTAATGAAGAGTCCCTCCCCAGCATCCTTGTAAGGCCCCCTTCAGATACTGGAAGGCTGCTATGAGGTCTCCACACATCTTTCTCTTCTCCAGGCCGAACAGCCCCAACTTTCTCAGCCTCAGCTTCTCTTAAAACATCTTAAAAGAAACCCAAACTCCGCCCCCCCCCCCACCCCCCCTTCCCAAAATCCATATGCAGGGAAAGGTCTGGAATTCATTCATTCCATGCTCAAAATGTTGAAGTACTGCAGGCAGGAAAATACAGTGTTTTTTTACAGTCTGCTTTCCAAAGGAAAACTACTAAAACATCCTGGCTTAGCCATGTGAAGGAAGTGGGAGTCTAAGATCACATTTAAGTATTTCCATTCTGTTTCCGTTCCAGCAGCTTGGCACCAGTGAGATGTATTTGGAAATACAAGTGCTTTCAGTGCTCTAGCAGTGCTTTTTCTGACAAACTGTAAATAGCTTGCTCAAAGCTTATTAGAGTTGGGGATTTGATGTTTTCTTCTACCTCAGTCTTCTGTGATTAACTTGTGTGACTGCTCAGACATTACTGCTTTAGTCAAGTAATGATTTCTTTCTTTTTTTTTTTTTGTTTTTCCTTAAGCTTTTGTTGTTGGTGTTTTGTGGGTTTTGTTTGGGTTTTTTCTTGTTTGTTTGTGTTTTTGGTTTGTATTTTTTTTTCTGGTGAAAATACCTGATAGTTGCCTGACATCAAGCAACAGATCAGTACAAATCGAAATTCAGGAGCTGGAAGGTCCAGTGATGTTTCCAGTAGTCTCAGGGCAGAGATGCCGCATGTGCAAAGTCCCTAAAAAAGGACTCTGTGAAGGGTATTATGTTAGAATTTAGAGACACTTTTTTGTCTGAACTCCTTGGAGAAGTTCACTGCCATATCCCCAGTGACACTTGCACCTGACTTGTACCTGATCTCTGATCAGGCCTGTATCAAGTGAGTAATCCTGCTGTACAGTCACAGGCAGCATGAATACTGTTGGCAGTGCAGTAGAGAGCAGTAAATAGCTGACCTAAGTATGTCTCTCGTCCTGTTTTGTGCAGGAAGGTATAAAATTGGTAGAGGAGGTGAAGAGTAAGAATGGGTAGGGTTGTGGCAGATGCAGAGAAATAAAGACGAGAAAAACACCAAATGCTGATTGTTTAAAAGAAGCCAGTTAATTATGGGGAGCAATGTCTTCCTGCTTGACTGGTCATCTGGCCACTTTCTTTTCTGCAACACAGCTCAAGAACAATCTCTGCCCTGCTCCTTATTCTGAACTATTTTGGGACTATGGTTGTCTTTTTTTATTAAGTTCCATTTGTAGAGTGCCAGAAGTGCACTAATCCGTCAAACCCGTTACCAGTTTCTCTACCAGCAAGTGGACTTGGCACACTTCCTGCTATCTGAGCCTGCTGGTGTCCTCCAAATATTTTGGAATTGCAGTCTCAGGTAAGTGAGGGTGATGGCAAGAGCCTCAGATGTGATCCATTATTCTCTCTGGATTCAGAGTTACCTAACAAGTAAAAAAATAGTAGGTTATTAGTAGTACAGTTACCCAACGGTAACTGTTTTCTGTGATAAACAGAGAATTTACTCCACAACTTACTAACAGCGCTCTTGCTGATTTCATTCCTATAATCTGTTATTAAGATCAGTGGGTAACTTTTATCACCATTACACAATCCCTTGGTAACTTATATGGAAATTGGGAATAATATTAACATATTGCATGTCTACATTTTACTTGTATTATTCAGACTGGATGCCACACTTAATACCGTACTCACTAACAGTTTTCTGATGAAAGCAATGTTTTTGATAGGTGATTTTTGCATAATCTGAAGACAGTTTAGTTATTGCATGTGAACTATACTCAAGACAGACACACCAGAGTAGGTACTAGATAATCTTGAGGGCCGCCTTCAGTCTTATTTTCTCTAAGGTTCCTCAAGAACTGCAACACTTTTGTCTTCATCAGTGTCTGTCTTCAGGAATTCTATTGAAGGGCAAAGGAGATGCCTGTCTTATGTTACTATGTGAGTATTCTTTATAGTCTAGCTAGGTGTTAGTGCTTTATTGCTGTTCCTGCTACAGCAAAACCAGCAACTGGTTTGCCCCCTTTTTCTGAACTCTGCAAATAATTAATAAAAATAGTAGTTCTTGCTTTGAGAAGAAAGCCATTCCTTACAGTTTTGTAAAAAATGATGACAAATGAAGCAAATCTGGGGAAAATGCACATTCCCTGTTGTGTACAGCAAAGCAAGGAAAGGAAGCAAGGGAAGAAATAGAAGGCACCATAGGAAGAATGAGCAGTGATCTTTTAAGCTACTACTGGCACAGCCATTACTGATGTTTGTATCACAGAGGGTCATTGCCCAAACCTGGACAGGGATGTAATAATTCTGGGACTATTGCTGGAAATGTGGGCTACGGAAAATTCCTGACTGATCCAGCCACTCCAAGGAGGAGCATGCCCCTTCCCTCTTCTTTCATGTTAGGGGATGGTACACTGCCAGTCCTAGAGGCTGAACATGGTTAGGGAACATTAAGTGGGCAGTTCAATAGCACAGAT